TTTTTTTAAAAAATTAAATCTAACTTTTTTTTAAATTAAAGTAAAAAATAAATTAAAAAAATAAAATTGATGGAAGTCAGTGCAGAAGCAACGACTTATACATTTTTTTTTTTTTGAAAATCGCTCCGTGTGGAGCGATTTGTTTGATTTTAATTTTTTTTTTTAAAAAAAGCAAATTTAAGAAATCGCTGCAATTGCAGCGATTTCGCTTTTTCAGAAGGCAAAAGTCACTACATCATGAACAATTTTACCGTTTTGATTTTAAAAAAAATTAATATGCCCTTTTAGAATTTTTGACAATTTTCTTTACCCTTTTAACTCCGCCCTCTAGTAATATTCATAAATATGTTCACTTCCCAAACATAATATTTTTATATTTTAGGTTTATTTAGTATTAAGTACTAACTATAATCTTTCAATATTTTTTGATCCAATAATAGTATATTTTTTTTTCATTTTATTAATTTAACGTGAAATGTGTTATGTAGTAAATACATATTTAATAACAAGGATAAAATAAATACAAAAGATAACTTATTTCTTAATTTTTAAAATTGTGCAAAATATTATTGAATACTATGTTTAATATAACGAAGACACAACTATTATTGGACAAAAAATATATATATTTATTTTACTTATAGAAGGTTTAAATTCAAGCGAACGGAGAAGTATTTTTTTTTAATATATCTAAATTTTGAATCGATAAATTTATTTCATACATTACTGAAAAATAAGTAGGTATCTTATATATTTTTAAATTTAAAGGTAAATTATTAATTTCGTTTTTAAAATATTGACCGCGTTAGAAATATTCTTTTAGGTGACTTATTAAATATAGATATACCTTCCATCTCACTCATGTTACATGATGTGGAGTGTATTTAGGTTTAGTTAGTCAAATAAAAAAGTATTTATAATATCGTCAATAATTTGAAGATATAAATTAATAATTCACACAGCGTTTTCAATATTTTTTTCTCGCGGATACATGTAAGAAACAAAAATCACAATTGAGTTCTCTTACTTTTATTAATTTTATTAACATAGTTTAGTACTTGTGATTGTTTAACGAACACCAACTGTTCGACAAATTGTCTCTGTAAAAGATTGTAACTTTTTTATAACCAAAATCAAGATTCTGAAATCTGATCAGCAGATATGGAGACCAGTAAAGAGGGAAATGCAGTTTTTCTCGATCGTACTTCTCGTGCTACTAGAGGCAAACGGTAAATCAAGATACCCAATTTCAATCAGTTCATAATTTTTCTGGTTTGGGGTTTGTTTGTTGTGTGTATAATTTTGTGGGTTGAGTTTAATTTAAGTTTATTTGTTGTAAAAATGGGATTTTTATATGACAGGATGACTAAATTGTTGGATGATGAGGTAGAAGAGGATGAACTTTTCTGGAATCAGGAAGCTCTTAAAGATGTATGTTGTTTTTTACAATAACAATGTCACGACATTTTTGTGTTATATTGTAATTGTAGTTAGTAGGTAGCAACTTAAGCTTAATGTTTGTATAGAATTGGAGCGTGACGAGAGTAGAGTGTATGCAGTAGAGTGGTTGTTTCTGATAGACGCTCGGCTCAAGGAGAAGCAACTTTATAAAAGAAAAGATTATTTTTTGAAACTTTGTGGAAAAAAAGATCAATTTTTTTTTCTATATTGGATGGTTTCTTCGTGAGGGGGTTGGGGGCAGAGGTGGAGCTGGGGTTTGAAACTTATGGGTTTGGGATTCTTGTCTTTTTAAGCTTTGGGTTCTAAAATTAATAATGTGTTCTTATTCAATGAGTTTTTAATACAAATACAGGGTTTGGACCAAAGTTGGTGGGTGTTGTCAGGAGAAGAATATGCATTTGACCATGTTAAGTTTATATCAGTTGGTGAATGGTAAGGGGAAATGATAGGAAACAACTATGTCTAATTTAGCTTTAAGAAGTTCAAATAAAGTTGGGAAGAATTGGCCCAAACCATATATTCAGGAGCCTTTCAAGTTTCAGAAAATTTCATCAATTACTGCACCCTTCATCTGTCTCTTTGTGCCTAGGTATCCACTGTAAGTTTCAGAATAGAATGGAGAATATTCATAAAGTGATCACTAGGAGTTGGATAGGCATGTTCAGTGGAAACAAGAAGGGATTTGTTAGCTTGTTATTTCATAGGAAACAGTTAAATGGATTCTGAGTTGGAAAGTTTGTGAACTAAGAAACAAAAAGCTTTAGTATCCGATGCGTGTTTAATGTGGATTATTGAGGCAGATTGAAGTGCAACTGCTACTGGCTTTTAGAGATTCACGTTTCTTTGCTTTCTCTGGCAAGTCCAAAAGTAGCATAGAGCACAAAGAAAATGATATTTATTTTTTGATAAAGGAACACCAAGAAAATGATGAAAGCTGAAGTTTCTCAAATATGGACGTAATTGTGCTTTTACGGAGAATATAACAAAGGAAAGTTTCTACTATGTGTTCTTAGGTTCAAATCCTAGCTGAGACAAAAAACGTTAGGTGATTTCTTACTATCTATCTGTCCTAGCTTTGGTGGACAGAGTTACATGATACTTGCTGGTGGTGGACAGACTTGTCAAGGTGTATGTAAGCTAGCCCACACACCATGGTTATCAAAAAAGATATTTTTCTCTGGAATAACTGCTGGTTCTTTACTTTACTGGTCTAAAATAATGATGATAATTATAATAATGCAGCCTCCATTATCCCAGCAGCTCTAGTTTGAGTGAAAATGACTGCAGCCTCCGTTATTCGAGCAGTAGTAGTCTTTTACTCAAATCATAGGCCTTGACATTTCGAATCCATGGTTGTAATTGGGCCTGAAAGTTTTGATATTTTAATTGCTTTGGAAATCCAGATCCACAAACCTTCCATAAAATATTTGGTTTGTGCTTGTTTGGCAAATTTGCTTATTGAATTTAATGAGCTTTTGGTTGGATGTAAATCAGGAAGAGAATGACATTGAATATGAAGAGGAAGGGGAAGCTGTGGATGTTTTCGACAGTGACTTTGATGAAGATGTAAGTTCTAAGTGTTCCATTTCTCATCACTGAACCTTTCATTTCACAAATTTTTGTGATGGATTGGTTACTTGTACTGGCAGTTCTAGCTTGGAAGGGTACGTTTATCGATAATTCTGTTCTCGAATGACCTATGTTAAAAATGACTTTCCTAATATTGTTTCAGGAACCCGAGCCTGATGAAGAAGGAGAAAATGAACCCGATGACAGGTTTGACACACTCACGTTGATGGGAAGTGTCCGTTTAGCTCCATATGGATAGTCCTTAGATTTATATTCTTCTCTTTTCTATGGCAGGACACAGACCAAAAAGCGATTGACCTATCCAGGAAGACCGCCTGCAAAGAAGAAAAAGAAAATGAAAGCCCTTACCAAGACAGAAAAGGCACACCAAGAAAATGAAGAAGCTCCAGATCCGTCCACCCCTTCTGAACATCATGGTGCTCATGATGATACTGAAGCAGAAAGAACAATTAGGAAATCAACAAGAACGGCTGTCGTTGTAAAACAAGCTGAAAGGGAAGCCATTCGTGCAGCCTTGCAGGCAACAACAAAGGTAGGGTGCTTGCACTATAATGCTATTTGTGATAGTACAAATAACAAATTATAATTTCTTACATGGCAGGCTTCTTTATTTTCTGGATTTAGGACACAGCCCTTTTATTCTTGTTTATTTATTTAGTTTGTAATCCCGTGCATGTGCTGGTTTTTCTTGTTTTCAGAAAGCATTACTGAAATTAGAGTTTGTTTTTATTTTCTACCACAATTCTGTTGATTCACTATCTTCTGATTCTTCAGCCTATAAAAAGAAAAAAGGAAGGCGAGGAAAAGAAGATGACTCAAGAAGAGATGCTTCTTGAAGCAGCTCAAACAGGTTTGGGCCCATTTCCTTACTCTGTAAAATTGCTACCTGTGCACTTTTCACTATGATATGTGACCTATCTTTGACAAAATTGGCAGAGGTCATGAATCTGAGGAATTTGGAGCGGGTTCTAGCAAGGGAAGAGGAAGTCAAGAAAAAGGCCATTGTGCATAAAGCAGTTTACAATGGTCCTCAGATACGATATATATCCAAAAACGGCAAGTTCCTTACCATGATTTGGGACCCCTCAAACTGTACCCTCTTTTCTATATCATAAAACATTTAGTTAATGGTAACACACATAATCAATCACTTTTTTACGAGTTCCATGCCTCAACTATCCATAGTTCGCTTTACTACCTAAACTATCACTCCCTTTGTATCTACACACACGTTGATATTGAGTTGACCAAATATTTGTTCCCAATTGACAACAGGCGCGTGTAGGCCAACTCAGCATCGAAGTGTGTTTTAATACAAAGGGAGTGATAGTTTTGGTAGGTAAATGGAACAATAGATAGTTGAGGTATGAAACTCGCGAATAGGTGATAATTTAGGTGTGTGTTTGACCATTAACTCTAAATATTCATATGCTACAGTTGCTTTCACTTGAAATTCATTTTTGTTTGATATTATTGTGAATATTTAGTTGTTTTCCATCATTCCAAACCATGCATGTTAATGGTATCTTTTTCCCTGCAGGTTCTTCCTACCTAGAGTTTGTCAATGGAGCGTCTTTCGGTTCACAGATCACAACAACATCCACTCCATGTAATTACAAGTTTGCTATATCCTGTTCCTCTCAGTTACATTTCCCTAACAATCGGCTTCATAGGCATGGCTGATTCCACATTGCTAGAGTATTTTCAGATGTTCATTGACTGGCAGCTTATGATTATTGACTGGTTTCATATTTACAGACCCCCAGAAGGCAGTGTGTGTGGTTACTGGGCTGCCTGCACGGTAACATGCTCTTTCCATATTCTCTTACTGTTTTTTATTTTAAGTGAACTCTAGCAATCATGCTCGCTAAACTTGTAGTTCTAGCTTATTTTCTTATAAGATTCATCCCATAGAAGGCATCAAGCAGGTGCACAATATTCAATACAAAAGCTCAAACTCCATTTTAATAAGAATCTGTCAGTTCTCGAGGTTATCTTTAACCTTTGAACCAATAAGTCTTCCTCCGAGCAGGGCAGTACCCATCAGAGCTACTCTTTTGAGAGAGAGATCTTATTGCAACGGAATGCTCTGCTTTGGTTAGTGGTTACTCCTCCCTTCTCTTATCTGTCAGTTCAAAAGCTCCACCCCAGTAACATCTAGTAGCAGCCAGTTGAAACCACAGGTATCTTCTCTGGCTCCTTCTTAAGAGCTGTAAACCTCCAAGAAGATCCATGTAAGTCCATTGATGGAACTTCACCTTCTTTGGAGAAGTGGAGAATGCAAATGAAAATTTGCATTTACAGATGCTCTTATTACAGATAAATCAATGTCTATTTTTCTTCCTTCAGCCTTTTAAAAGTGTTTTCGGCCCACCTACTATTTCATCTTCCTTACTCCAGCGGGATCCCAAGACACCTTTTTGTCTCTAAATAGACCATATATCTCAGCTCTCCATTGCAACATCAACATTTGACAAGTTTGTGCCAAGTCTGTTATCGAGCCCTCATACATTCCATTGATCATATTAAACTTAATTTATCCTCAGTTCATTGACCTTTAGTTCACCATCTCGGCATCTCCCTGGTATGTGTTTGCCCGTCGTATGATCTCTTTGGTTTCTGGGATGTTTTGAAGTTTGTCAGAGGACCTTCCATCCAAACATCTGTACAGGGTATTAGTCTTCATTCTGCATGCAGATTCTGGTCCTGTCAATGACTATTTCTTGTATTCAAATCTGTGATGTTGGCCATTCAGTTGGTCCAGCGAACTCCGCGTAACACTTCGATCTTAATGTTTGAGAAGGTGATGGTGGATAGCTGATGCTCTTCTTTATAAACGTCTGGATTTTACATGCAATGTCTGACCATCCTCCCCGTGTCATTTGTGCTCTGCAACCTCAGACACTGCTTTCATAGTGTTGAAATCCCATAACTACGGTTTTCCTTCAATTCCTGTTTTGCTTAGAGAGCTTCTCCATTTTTCAGTCCATATGAAAATTTCTGCATCTCTTTCAACTTGGCAACAACCCAGATCTTTCTTACGATTTTGGCATATATAGTATAAAATATTATGTCTACAAGTGTGCTCCTTCTCTTCAAAATTACTGTAAGGTCTCCAGGAAAATAAACATGTGATGTATGGCTTGATCCATTTGTTTCCTCCCAATCTGTTACCTGTCTTACATTGGTACAACACGGGTCGAGACTCGAGTCACACCTCCATTTTGGCTCTTCCAAACGATATCTTCCTTGTTTCTTCTTTCCCTGACTCTCTCTCAACCTCTCTCACTCACAGAGATACACGCACAATCCAATATTGGAGCTCTATACTTAGTTTACTTGGATAATATTTCTGTGTTCCAGTAAGCTTCCTTTATTTTATTGCCTAAGAGGAGAGATTGCATATGCGTACATGACCTGTTATGCGTCCTAGATGTTTTGTCATCTCTTTGTCCACATCTTTTTTTGTGTAATAGTGTTAACTTGGATGTCTATTGTACTAATCACTAAGTGTTAATTTCATCATTGATAATTTTAGGTATCGTGACCCGAAAACTGGGCTTCCTTATGCAACTAAAGAAGCATTTAAGATCATACGCGAACGGTAAGGATGTATTTTACTTAATATTGATTGATGATGAATGAAAAACTGTCCTATTATTTCATGGTTCTTGCCTCTTGGTATGATTAAGTCAGAGTGAGTCATACTTAACTTGGCTTTTACTATAGAATCAGCTTTTCTAGCAAGATCATGTACGAGAGATGCACATCCAGGAAGAGAATGCTTTCACATCAGTTTTATGATTTTTCTTGCATTCTTCACTTGCATGAACAATATTTCGGCCTCGTTGTTCATACTTTCGGGATTGAAAAGCCCAAAATAAAGAAAAAATACACGATCTTTACGATGGAAGTAACAGAGAAAATGGCAGAAGGCTATGATGCCTGCTTTCCTCCTTAATTTTCCTCTTCCTATGCTATTGACTTCTAATTTACTTTCATTTTAAGATATTTCTGTAGTTTATATTGAACCGTGAGTTTTTAAATGAGAAAGGTAACTATCTATACACATTGGCCGGAGAATGAGCTATTAGTCAATAAGTTCTTCATTTATAAAAGCCCCCTTACTTCTCACTCGTGGTTTCTGCGTAAAATTAGAATACACCACATGAACTTGGGTTACGTTATGAAAAAAAGTGTGTTTGTGCTGTCATTGCAAAGGTTCAGTTCTTTTAGAACGAGTAACCAGATGCATATTTGATCCCACCTTACATTCAGGGGTGGAGCCAGGGTGGCAGAAGTGGCTCATATGAACCCCTTCGTCCAAAAAGTACACTGTATATGTAACATCAAACCCCCATGACATAACTGAGCATCTATTTCGAACCACCTAAGATTCTGTCTCCGTTACTGCTTACATTACGAAAATAAGGTTTCATATCATTCATAAACTTACTATTCCTCATCCACAGGTTTGCTGAGGAAAGAAGCAGGGCTCGGGAGGAAAAGCATATGGACGAGTTGTCTCAGGCGATTTCTGGGCTAGGATTTACCTCGAAACGAAAGAGGTCCATTCCAAATAATAGAAAAACGTCATATACCCCGCGAGTATTTGATCGTTTCCGCAAGTTTCCTGCTGATGACTCCATGTCTGAGGATTCAGAGTAGTCACTATGTACAATTTGATCCTCTTTATTTTTAGCCTAGGTTTGTAGAAATGCAGAAGGTAGTATTTTTTTTCTCTTGATTAGCTTGTATAATCAGTTTTAGTCTTCTAGAGTTTTAAATGACATTTATATGGCACGAGCTGTAAAAGCGTAAGAGCTATTTATATAGAACCGCCTTCAGGCGATTCTCACATCTTCCGATCCTCTACTTAGTTGCTTTTGATTACATCGAAAAAATGAAGGACCACTTGGCATGTAACATATCTGAATCTAGCCTGATGTCAAGCTAGAGCTTGCTCCTTCTCCTTCTGTCGCGTGTTTGATTGAACTCGGAGTTTAATAAAGATTAGTTTGCTCTTTTTGTCGCGTGTTTGATGGAACTCGGAGTTTAGTGAAGAAAAAGAATCTTTATTTTGTAATTCATTCTTAACAAATAAATTCTCAAACTTTTAATTTCTTAGAAAGGAAGTTGTGTGAAACAAAATTTTTATTTTTATTATATATAATAATAGTTTCAAATGAGCTATAATAGAGTAACAATGATTAGTAAAAGTTTATATAGTCAAACTAAATTTACATATTAATTTACTAATGACTCTAAAAAAATATCTTAATTTGAGGCTAAAAATATCATCTCCTTTTTTAAATAAAAAAATAAAATGAGACTTCACTTTAACAAACAAAAGGTCAATTCTAATTGAGACACTTTTTAATACATTCTAATTTTTAACTTTTTTTTAGTCAATATATCAAAGCCCTACTTTCTCCATTAAGTAATAATTACAACTTCTATCATCCTTATTTGATATTGATATTATTGATGTCTTTCGTTATTTCAGGACGAATTTAATTTATAAGTTATAAATTATATATATATATATCAAAAAAATTACTAGGCATTTAAAATATTTAATTATAAATCTGGTTATTAACTTGAAAACTCCGATAAATTTTTTATAAATTTTAAATTCTAAATTCCGCTACAATCGTCGATACAAATTTTTTAGATTTTTGCAAGCTACTTCCTACTACTTTCCTAAATAAATTCTCCAACTTTTTATATAAATATCAGTCAAATTTATGGACTGTGTTGAATTTACATATAAACCACATATTTTTTGGAGGCTGTGGAATTTTTTTCTACATCATGCACTAAAAGTCTACTAAAAGAAATAAGATATTAGCAAATGTGTGGATTATATATTTTTGTATATTAATTACCAAAAGTATTGACAATATTCCTTATCTACCACGTGCCTGTTTATCGAAATCGAGATCGAGATCGAGATCGCGGCGGTTCAATATAAATAAAGGTTTGAAATAAAATTCTAATTAAAAGAAGATATTAGATTTGAAATTTGTAAATTTTATAATGGAAAAAAGATTCAAAAACATTTTTAAATTATCAGAAATAGCTTATATTTATTCTTAAACTATATTTCGGCTCAAATCTATCCTTTTCGTCATACTAATGAGTTAAAAGTATCCTTCTTATTAACGAAAGTTATTTCCACTGCCACGTAGACTAATAATTTCCCCCTAATATCAAATTTTCCCCTCAATACGATTTCACCCATTTTTCATTTTTATAATAATCACAAGTTAATATCATAATAAAATAATCGATACACATTCAAATATTATATTCACGTAAATAGGTAACCAAACGGGAAAAAAACTTATCCGCACTGAGTGTTTAAATCAAATCAATGCAATTTTCTTTTTAACGTGATTTAATGAAGTAAAATTAATCATAAAATTTAAACACAAGACATACATGTATTGACTTGATATAAACACTTAGTGCGGATAAGTTTTACCTGTGATCGAACTTCTATCCTAGGGTCACGATTTGTTGAAGATGTGCTACATTGATTAGTATAAAAGATAGCCAGAGCCAAAATCTGAAATTTTGAAATTTTTAAATCTTAATCACTTCATTTTATTATATATTCAATAGATTTTTTAAAACAGATAAAATTAAAATTAAAAATTATTAAATTCGACGAATCCATGTCCCATAGACCTTAGTGACATACTCTAACTACATCCTAATTGATTAAAAAGATTATTTTTATTTATTTAATTATATCTTCAACAATTATTTAATAGGTTAATATAATACACCTACTTCTTGACCAAGGTTTATTTATTTTATTTTATTTTTGTTAAAAAGAAAAACAAATCATGTTGAGCTGTCCCATATATGTGAGACGTGAAATATTTGGTCTTTTTATATTATTAAAAACTTTGAGTAAGATATTTGGATAAAGTTAAGCTAAAATAAGAGTTTTAGGTTGGAGTTAAATATATATGAATATTTAGTAAATTTAATTTTTAATACATACACAAATTTTAGATAAAAATAAATATAAATTCACATAACCCCTTGTGAATTTATGGATCCGCCCATATAGTAAGAATTGTTTTCTCCGTTAATAAATTTTATGTGATGTGAATTTGAATGAGAGGTAGCGGATTTATATTGATCTAAGACCTTTCGTTAAATTTAATGTCACTTCAGTTCTTTTACATTCGAATATTTTTAAGTTCATGTTTCTATCCCACAAATGGTGTGGGACTTCAATACCTTCTACAACACACATCTTTTGGAGTGTGGACAATATAAAACAAAAGATTCAATATCGAAAATAATGAATTAAAATGGTTCGACTATGATACAATGTAAAAAAATTAAATTATGATTTAACTCAATCATAAGAGCTAGTTTTTGAACTCGAATTTAATTCAAAATTCATTTTTTTAGAAAGTATCAAAAAAATCTATTTGAATTATTATTTTTCGATATTGACCCCCATATTATATTGTTCATTCTCCGTATATTCGATGTGGAAGAGAGGGAGAAGTGGAGGGTATGAAGAATCCCACATCAAATATTGTTTAGGGGGTGACTATTGATATTTATTCCCTTCGTCTCATATTAGTTAATTATTTTTTATTTTGTATAATGCTTGAGAAATCATAAATTAAAAGAAATTTTTACTTACTCACCCGTTAAAAAACTTTTGTAGAATTTTATAAACAAATATGAACATTTTCAAAAAATAGAATCAATTGTAATAGTAAATAAAGCACAAATGCCCCCTTAAATTATGACTGAATTTTAAAAGACACATATTAATTAAACTAACATCCTATTACCCTTGAACTTATTTTTTTGTAATTTTGTACACTTTTATGTTACGTGACACACTCCATGACTTCACACAATTGAGGCACGTGATATTTGAATATCACGTGAGCCAAAAAGGTGCATAAAATTACAAAAATAATGGACTCAGAGGGGATAATATGACATTAGTTTAGTTATAGTGCGTCTCTAAGATTACAGTCATGGTCTAAGGGGTTTACTTGTACATTTTCCAATATAACACAGAAAGATATAATAAATGCTTTCTTGATTCAATGAGGTAAACAACTAATATAAAACAACTATTTACATCTTCAAACTCTTGGATACTCCGCCTTTGATTCGAGTTAGCCAGAACACCAATATAGATACCAGACACCAAGTGTAAAACAAAAAAAAAACTAATGTTTCATCATGCATGGCCATGTCACAATCTTAATTCCCTTGACTATACTTCATTCAAACACACAACAAGAAGCTACTTGTGTTTGTTCATTACCTTCCTCTATGTTTCTAGGAAATTTCTTCAATATCCTATATGTATAAATAGCATGCTTTCAAGATTCACTTAGACACAATATTTTAGTACAAATATCCAAAAACACAAGTGTGTTTGTGTGTGTGTGTTTTAAACATCATGGATGAGCCAAATCAAAGAAGAGAGCCTATAAAAGTGAAGTATATAGATAGTCCTGTGATGGTAAATGCAAAAAATGCAACTGAGTTTAGGAATATTGTTCAACAACTTACTGGTAAAACACCACAAAAAATGTCTAGTGGTGGCACAACAATTGAGTGTTCAAGTGTCAAAGCACATAGTAATAGTAATAGTAATAGTAAAAATGTAGATGAGTTACTATGGAAAGAACTTTCACAAGGCATATCCATATATCACTACTTGGATAATTACTAGTGTTTTATTATGGTTCTTTCTTTCTTCTTTTTTTTCCTCGGGATGCGGTTCTTTCTCGAATGCTGTTAATTTGAAACTGAAATGTTTTATGTATTGAATTGTCCTCTTCTTCTTTTTCCTTTTTTATTATTTCTTCTTTTTTTTTGTATAATGGAGAATTGAAGTGATGACGAAACAATTCATCAAGTGTATTCTAGTAATAAATATCTTTGTCTTCCGTTCTACTACGTACAATCGATTTCAATTTATATGTCTTACCTCGATTAACCTAGCATGGAGTTCTTTAAACTTTATTTCTAGAATCGATCTTGGATCCGTTCAACACTCTCTCATTGTCCCTTCATTATCATTCGTACTTCATGTGGACAAGAGCGATTTTTACTTCATAAAATAATAATATTTAACTTTTGTTTTAATATAATTATCGTAAAAATAATTTCTTTCACGTCCAACAAAATATTATGAATGTTTACTAACATATGTCAAAAAGGAAACATAAATCTATTATGATATTTTTGACTCTTCTCATCACACAAGTCATCAACCACGACCACGAGGACTTTTTTTATTTTATTTTATTTGGACTTGCAGAATATTATTTTATTTCATTTAATATAATAGAGTTGCCATCTTTTTTTTATATATATATATATAAAAAAAATTACTTTTTTTGAGATGAAGTGATAAAACTTAGTTATACATCAACTTCACATGATTATATATATCATTCATGACAAATAATTGAAATCCTGCTTATA